AAATCTATCAACTAGCCGGAGACTGGCCAGGTTTTGCTTTGAACTGATTCTTGGATAGGCATCACAATTGGCTTCCATCCGTGGGATGAACACGTGGGACGTGGACACATGGATGTTTCCATCATTTACGCTCCACAATGTGCCCTAGGGACTCGCCCACGCGAATCTTTTGTCCGGCCACAATGTCAAACTTAAAGTTCTTTGGCGCCTCGAACAAAAGGACAATCGTGCTGCCCATGTTGAACTGTCCAACCAGATCGCCCTTGCCCAGCTCCTTTGGGTTCTGCTCGGCGTTAAGTGCGACTTCGTCGTACTCGTAGGTGCTCGGGGGATGCTTACCCACATTGAGACCCGTCCAGCGATTAGTTTTGAGCTCAGCATCCATGTAGATCTCCACGGAGCCCACATTGGTGGCGCCCACAGCCGTGTAACTGAAGAAGCCGTGCTGCCACTGTCCCATGTAAAGGACACGCTCGTTCAGGCAGAACAGCCCCGGCAGCCAGCCGGCCACCTTGGGGCTCACTGAGAGCAGTTCGCCGGAGAAATGACGACGCACCGTCGGCTGCCAGGCGGTGGGCGAATGGAAGCGATGATAGTCTCCGGGCGCCAGGTATATAACGCACTGATATAGCTCGGTGGTGCCGTCGCGTTGCCGCTTCAAAGCCTGTGCATAGCTAACGCCCGACTTGGCCTCCTCCAGCGTCTGCAGGGGTCCCAGGAAATCCTCGATGCTGTAATTCACGCCCTTCACCTGCTCGATGAGCGAGTCAGAGGCGCTGCCAAAATGCAGAACCTTGCCATCGGCAGGCGAGACGAGCGGTGCCTGGGCATCGATGGTGCGTGCGCCCTCCTTCAGGGGCCGCGTGAAGAACTCCGCGAGGCTGTTGTAGTGCTCGTACTCCGGATACTGGGCCTCGCTTAGGTTTACATTGAAAGCACTCGAGTACCAGCCATAGACGTAGGGCCGCAGTGTCGTGGGCATGTAGCAGGCGGCCAGCCAGCCCCAGCAGCGGCTGATGATGCGCAGCGGAAGCGAGCAGTAGACGCGCGACTGGAACTCCGAGGCGGTGCGTGGCGAGCCGTCACGCTCGCAGCGTTTCTTATGTAGCTGCCATTCGATGGCGCCGAACACGCATATGCCCATGGGGGCCCAGCGCAGTAGGAAGCCGGTCCAGCGGGAGAGCACATTGCGACGCACCTGGGCGATGTTCTGGTTCGGATTAAGCTGCTGCCTGTGCGGCTGCGGCTGCGCCTTGAGGCGATGCAGCGGCGCATTCCCCGAGGAGGAGGAGTTCGAGGAGAAATGCCGGAAATGCCGGGCCACAGGCCAGCTTCCATTTTGTTGATGCGCAGGCTTGGATGCTTGTAGTTGTAGTTGCTGTGGCTGTTGTGGCTGGACAACTTTTCTTAGGTTGCCGGCCTTCAGCAGGACGCGACCGCGAGGTACAAAGTAGGAAACCATTTTAATTGTAGTTTTAATTGTTGTAGTTGTTGTTGTTATAGTTCTTATGGCGACACAGCCACCCGGCCACCGAACTGATGATTACGTATTCTTTTAGATATGGAAAATGGCACGATGTAGAGAGCGCGCGCGTCTGTTTTGGAGGTTTGTTCAATTTAATCTTTTTTTTTGAGCACGAATCGAGTGAGTGAGTGAGTGTTGTGTGCCCTTAAATCCAACAATGGCATATTAATAGTGACAAAACATGCGCATTCAATCCAGACCTAAGTCGGAAACAATACGCGGTGTGGTATTGGAGGCGGGGGCGGGTATAACGAGAGTATAATGAAATAATGAATTTGCCAATCAAGTCGTATGTGTGCCTGATGTTGGGGTCCGTTTGTGTGTCTCTTCCGTACCGTACCGTGGGGCTGTTGTGGGCGAAATGAAATGAAACTTTTCCACAACCAAAGAGGCGCGCCAACTGAGTCTCATGTGCTTTTTTTCTCACCAAAACAAACGGAACGGAATTGAATGCCTCTCCGCGCTCTGCTCTTATCAAACCAAACACACAAAAAAACCACAATGGTGGTCAAGGCTGCCTTCTGTGTGCGTGAGTGTGTGCGGGAGGGGGGCCCTGGAGTCAGCAGTCGTCTCTGCTGTGGAGCTCGCTCTTTGTCGATTCAATGTTTTTGTTTTAAAACTGGTTTTAATTCTTATTTTTCCCGAGCCCGTCAATTGTTTTTTGTTTTGTGCATTACTGCGCCTCAATTTTGCGCTGAGTTTGAAGACAGATGGCAACCCTGGCAGCAGCTGCAAACAGCTGATCAATTATTTCTGTTTTTCTCATAAAAATAATTCATTTTGTTATATGCAGAAAATTGCAGAAGGGGCATTGAAATATCCGCGACCATGAGCGAGGCGGAGAAACAGGCCGTGTCCTTTGCCTGCCAGCGCTGTCTTCAGCCCATAGTGCTGGACGAGCAGCTGGAGAAGATTAGCGTCCATGCCATGGCGGAACTGTCGTGTAGGAGATGGTATACCACCATTCGCAGACACATATATAATCAGGTCTTCCTTTCACAGTGCCCATCTACAGGGACAATGGCAACACCCTGGACACACAGGATGCCAGCAGCTTTGACCACTTTGTGCCGCCGTACAGGCTGACGGACTCCATCAATGGAACTGGCTTCATGCTCGTCTCGGATGGCCGCGACAACAAGAAGATGAGTGCTGCCTTCAATCTGAAAGCAGAGCTGTTCGACTGCTTGTCCTCCAACTCGGAGATCGACCATCCGCTGTGCGAGGAGTGCGCGGACTCCATGCTGGAGATTATGGATCGGGAGCTGCGCATCGCCGAGGACGAGTGGGATGTGTACAAAACGTATCTGGATGAGCTGGAGCAGCAACGGCAGGCACCCAATGTGGATGCCCTCGACAAGGAGTTGGACGAACTAAAGAAGAGTGAACAGCAGCTGCTGTCGGAGCTCGGCAAGCTCAAAGAGGAGGAACAATCACTGAACGATGCGATAGCGCAAGAGGAACTGGAGAAGGAGAAGCTGCACGACCAGGAGGAGAGCTACTGGCGCGAGTACACGAAGCACAGACGTGAGCTGATGCTCACCGAGGACGACAAGCGCAGCCTGGAGAGCCAGATCAGCTACTCGAAGCAGCAGCTGGACAAGCTGCGCGACACAAACATCTTCAACATCACCTTCCACATCTGGCACGCGGGCCACTTTGGCACCATCAATAACTTTCGCTTGGGTCGTCTGCCCTCCGTCTCCGTCGACTGGTCGGAGATAAATGCCGCCTGGGGGCAGACCGTGCTGCTCCTCTCCGCACTCGCGCGAAAGATTGGCCTGACCTTTGAGCGATATCGTGTGGTGCCGTTCGGCAATCACTCGTATGTGGAGGTGCTGGGCGAGAATCGCGAACTGCCGCTCTACGGCAGCGGGGGATTCAAGTTCTTTTGGGACACCAAATTCGATGCGGCCATGGTGGCCTTCCTTGACTGCCTTACCCAGTTCCAAAAGGAGGTGGAGAAGCGCGACACTGAATTCCTGCTGCCCTATAAAATGGAAAAGGGCAAAATTATTGACCCATCCACGGCGAATTCCTACTCCATAAAGTAAGTCCAAGGAAAGATAGTTTCTAGCAAAATACTGATTCGTTTTTCGTTTTTTTGCTTTCAGGATACAGTTCAACTCGGAGGAACAGTGGACGAAGGCCCTAAAGTTCATGCTTACGAATCTGAAGTGGGGTCTCGCCTGGGTCTCCTCGCAATTCGTGTCGCAGTGATGTCTTATGTGTCCCTCAATCATCGTTTATTTATGCTCTTATTCCTCCTAATGCTTACTATTAAAACTAAATCTTTCAACTTTAAATTGTTAGTTTTTTCTTTGTCTCTGGCTGCTCCTCGCCGCAGGAGCTGTCGCTGTCGTCTGTGTCGGTGCCCGAGATATCATCTCCAATCCAGAGTGTTCCCTTTTTATTCTTGTTGGCCTTTGTCTTATCGTTGGCTGGTGCTTTCCTCTTGACGCCACTGACGGATGGCTGTTCGGTGGATGCTGCCTGCTTCTCTTTGATTTCCTCGGCCTGCTTGAGACCCTCCTCGAAGGCGTCGCTCACCTTGTCCGTCAGATTGGCCCTGGCCTCTTCGTACTTTTCGTCTTTGAAGTCGTGCTTGGGCACGGCCAGAAGTTTCTCAATCTTTCGCTTCTTCCGTTCCTCCCGCTCGCGCTCCCTCTCCGCCTGCTTTCCCAGCCAGGCGCGGACGCGCTTCTCCTCGTTGATGTCGCGCAGGCGACGCCCACTCAGATCTCGGCAGGCCTCGCGGTTTGTGGTCTTCTCGATCTGGGCCCCAATCGCACGCAGCATGGAGCCGAAACCACCCTTACCGCCCACCTGGCGGAGGATGCAGTGGATGCTCTCATGTTGAGTTGAGGTTGAGTCGCCAGTCAAGCGTTTGCCATTGCTCAAGAGGTAGTAATCGTCGCGTTGCAAGTGCTGTAAAATGGAAAATATTTATTGCAATTACACTTTGCACGTGAATTTCACAATGTACATATTTATGTGCACACTCACTGTAGACTTCTCGATTTTCGTGCATATATCATTATAGTTGATTCCATTGTCGAAAACAATTAACTGTTTATTGTTTAGAAGAATATTAATCACCATTTCTCTGCCTTTTCCTTTTGGTTGTGTTGTACTTTTGCGCTTCCCTTTTGTGCTGCTGCGTCTGCCTGCCAGGGTGTGTGTTAGAAAGAGAAAGCGTTTATCGGCGCAAATAGAGTTGCCACTTTATCTAATTTATTTGTAAACCGACTTAAAAATGCTTAAAACTACTTGATTTCAATTGAAAAACTTATAGTAAATCGAGCTATATTTTATTATATTGCTTGTCAACAAGGAGCTGCTGATTTGTGATAGTTTTTGATCAATTTATGACCTTGCCGCCATTGCGTTTTTCGTTTGCAACGAGTTGGCAGCACTCTCTCTCACACACAAAGTGCTCATTAATTAGTTCGCATTTTAGACGACGAAGGTAAAATTTTAGCGACGCGTTTATCGTACAATTTAATCAGTTTAACATAGCGAAAGTTGTGAAAAATTAATAAAAACCGGTAGCGGCTAATATTGTCTGTTGTGTGTTGTGTGTTTGAATAGCGCAGAGCTAGTAAAATGCGGTAAATTTACAACCGCAGCCACGTCACAGAGAGCATATAAAAATATGAGAGAGTGCGGATTTTGAAAACGAATCCCAAATTCTAGGCAGCGTCGAACAATGGGTAGGACAGGCCAGCGGTGGCGGCGGCGGTGGTGGATGTAGTTGTGTTAATGTTAATCCTAGCTTTCGGCATCGTCGAAGGGGAGGGGAACGGGAACGCTAGCATAAAAAGATGGCAGCACGGAATTGAACAAGATATGTACATTGCATGTGTGTTTGTGTGTGTGTGCATACACACATAAGTATAGATGGAAGCGGCAAGCAGAAAAAGTAAAGAAAAATCCCCATATTCGAGCTGCATTGGTATTGGTATTAGTTTAAATGTTCAATAACCAAAACCGAAAAAAAGAAGAAAAGTGGCAACTCATGTGAGCAAAAGGCAAACAAAAAGACTAGCGCAAGACGCCTTTTTGTGTGTGTGGTGTGCGAAAAACGACGAAGCGAGGAAAATAAGCGAATATAAATGAGCAACAAAAATCACCCCACCCCCACCCGCACTCTGCAAGGCCCTGGTGTGACTTTGACTGACATTTTATAGAGCCGTCCAAAGAAATCAAATCAAAATATAGTTTAGTGCCATGCAAATTTAAATTTTATTTCGAATTCGACTTGATTCGCCGAAATGTATTTCGGCGCTGCTGTCGAACTGCCGCCGCTGCCTTGGCCGGTTTCGGTTTCGCCAATTTCCCAACTCTTTCTCCATGTTTTCCATTATGTATTTTGTTATCGACGGTCATTCATCCTCTCCTCTAGTTGGTTTTCATTTTGTCTTTCGCCCTCTTCCGTGTCTCTGTGTGCGTGTGCGCCAGTGTTCTACATTGCGTTTGCTCCCGGAAAAGAGTAGTTCCTACCGATGCCGCTCTCGTTATGGTGTATAATAGTTTATGCAGTAATATCAAATAAAATGTTTTGCTTACACTGCAATTTTGTGACATTTGCTTTGTTAAATTTGCGAGGAAACGGATCTTGGGCCCGTCCCTCTCTCTCTTTAGTTCATTCTGTGCGTGTGTGTGTGTGAGTGTGCGCACGTGTGTGCGTGCCCCTGCACTGCTTTGCCGCCAGGCCAGCAGCTAGTCGGCTCTTTGTTCCCTACAGAGAGACAGAGAAGACCGATAGACAGACCAGACAGACAGACATAGGGCGGACGGAGCGAGCGACCACTTATCCATATCATTTGCCTACCTAATTCCAAATGTAACATTTGCCGATCATGTGCCACTATGTGACCACCGCATTGTAGACCTTGTCCTAAATAAACTAAAACTATAACTAATGTTTTAACTAACCGCAAACCATATACTTCTTCTCTTCTCTTTATGTTTTCTTCCTTGCAGCAGCGATTCCAGTGTTCAGCTTCGAAACCCAACAGAAACACTCTTAACCTGCGAGAACTTTCATAGCAAACTAATTTTTGTACCAGAAACCCCCTGATCCGATCCCGAATCCAAAATCCCAAACTCTCCTACCACACCAGCATCAGCGGCAGTGAACAAAAAAAAAAAACCTAAACTAACTAATTTTCTACATTAACGTAAATAGTATTCCATATACATTTATACAATTTGTGTATATTGAAGGGACAACAGCAGCAGTAGCCACAACAACAAAAACAATTTATAATGCCAATCCTATAGATTGAGAGACAAGCCAGAGAGAGAGAGAGAATTCAAGTTAAAAGTTAACGGGAATCCCGACACAACATCCGCGTCATCTCCCTCCCTTCCAAAGAGAAGAAGAGCAAAAGAGAGGAGATACAACAACAACAAAAATTTGTATATTCCAAAACACTCCATTAGCGAATAGTTAGGACAGATATATTTATATATACAACAACAACAACCACAAAAAAATAGAAGTTTAATACAATTTTTGCAAATTAGGCCACAAGATTTAAGGGAAAAGTAAAGAAAAGAAAAGCAATAAACGAGAAACCTCAGCGTTAAATCATAAAGATCTACTATTATCATAAATCTCTAGATACGATATATAATTAGATACTACAAAAACGAAGCCAATCGGGCCACAACGGGTCATAATCGTAATAATCGAAGTATTCAGAATTGTAGCAAAGTTTCGTAGTCCTTTAGCAGCCTCCTCCCTTCCTCCCACATATATATAATATATATAAAGTTCGTGTGCGGAGAAACGAGCGTAGATAGGGATCTTCTGAATCAAGTAAATTATTTTTGATATCGATTTTTGTAATTGATTTGATGCGCATCATCGCATAGAGAGAGAGTGTTGGAGTATATAATATATAGCATTATCGCGCATATCGATCCGCATACGCATACGTAAACAGCCATCCACGACGAGCCATGGACGAGTCACAGCCGAAAACGTTGTATGTGGGAAACCTCGATATCTCGGTATCCGAGGAGCTGCTCATCGCACTGTTCAGCACAATGGGTACCGTGAAGAACTGTAAAATAATAAGGGAACCGGGCAACGATCCCTATGCCTTTATCGAATTTGCCAACTATCAGGCAGCCTCCACAGCCCTGACCGCCATGAACAAACGCCTGTTTCTGGACAAGGAAATCAAGGTACGTCCAGATCGGATCGATCATCCTCCCATCACTTAATAAACTCTATTCGTGCAGGTTAACTGGGCCACTAGTCCCGGAAATCAGCCCAAGACAGATATTAGCTCCCATCACCACATATTCGTTGGAGATCTGAGTCCCGAAATCGAAACGGAGACGCTGCGCGAAGCCTTTGCACCATTCGGGGAGATATCAAACTGTCGCATTGTCCGCGATCCACAGACCATGAAGTCCAAGGGCTATGCTTTTGTTTCGTTTGTGAAGAAGGCCGAAGCCGAGAATGCAATACAGGCAATGAATGGCCAGTGGATTGGCTCGCGTTCGATACGCACCAATTGGTCCACGCGCAAGCTCCCACCACCGCGAGAATCGTCCAAGGGTGGCGGTCTGGGCGGCGGCATGGGGGGCGGGCCCGGGAATGGAGGCGGCATTAAGAGCAACCAGCGGCACACCTTCGAGGAGGTGTACAATCAGTCGAGCCCCACCAATACCACAGTCTACTGTGGCGGCTTTCCGCCGAATGTCATCACCGACGATCTGATGCACAAACACTTTGGACAGTTCGGTCAAATTCAGGATGTGCGTGTCTTCAAAGACAAGGGCTTTGCATTCATCAAATTCATGACCAAGGACTCGGCGGCGCACGCCATCGAGCATTCGCACAACATCGAAATCCATGGCAATCTCGTCAAATGCTTCTGGGGCAAGGAGAATGGCGGTGATAACTCGATGAACAACATGAATGCCGCTGCAGCGGCAGCTGCCTCTGCCAATGTGGCCGCCGTGGCAGCCGCCAATGCGGCGGTTAGTGCCTCATTGCCAGGCCAAATGATGACCCAGCAACAGTTAGCGGCGGCCACTGGTGCCGCGTTACCTGGCCAAATGATGACGCCCCAACAGCTGGCAGCTGCCACAGCGGCGCAGTATCCATATGCCTATCAACAAATGGGCTACTGGTATCCTCCGGCAGTAAGTTGGCTAATCTCTATCCCAAGGCCTAAATCATTTTAACCGTCATTCTCTCCCACAACAGCAGGCTTATCCAACCACCCAAATGCAGACGCAGTATATGCAGCAGGGCTATTATCCTTACGCTTACACGACCAGTGCCCAGCAGGCGGGTGGAGTCCGTACGTAGAGCCGCATTCTTTATCCAGCCTCCAGTTTTGTGTATTAATTCGTTTTGTATGATCTTTCCAGCTGCCGGGTATCGCATGGTGCCACCGAATGTGGCATGGGGAGTGCCTGCCACCGTGGTCCCTGGCATGTCGGCGGCCTCGTCTGCGGCCGCAGCAGCAAACGGTTCACTTGCCCCCCAGATGATGTACAGTGCCGCGATGCCACAATATCAGACCCAATGAACTGAGTTGTGACGCCCGCTTCGACGCCGTCTGCAACATCCGTGGAGCCGCTGCATCCAAGAACGTCTGCCGCCATCAGCACTGCAGTCACAATCGCAGTCGCAATCACAGCTGCAGCTGTTAGCGCATTACGCACCCTTAGCTTATTTAGAATACCAGGTCCTTGCCAAAACCGAGCAGCAGCAGCAGCAGCAGCATCCGTCGTATCATCCTCTGCCAGTCCCTAGCGATGAGAGCAACAAAATCAGCCTCTCAACGAGCCTCTTTTTTACGGCAGCAGGGAATTAAGGAAATGTCTCGATTTTGCGGTATTTTCAGTTGCGGTTCTAGGCAACGGCTACGTTTTTCTTTTTGAGACGTGTGCATCATTGTGGCGGTCGAACGGGCGTTACGTTCGTGGAGGACACTTTCATCGTACCCCCACAGTACTGCCGAACCGAAGTGAAGCGTGGAACTAAAAGTTGAACTACGCGCAGCGGCAGGCGAGCAGGCAGGCAGGCAGATAGACAGACACAGACAGAAAGACAGACAGACAGATGGACAGACAACAACTGAAGCTCTGGGCGATTTCGGGGGGTAGCTGTAACAATCTAATCCAATCTAAGTACGTGTTAAAATAATTTAATGATTTGTAATTTAAGGCAGATATAGGCGTATAAACGAAAGCGGAAACAAAAATAAACAAATGAGAAATACCACAAAACAGAGAAAAGAAAGAAAAACAGAAACCAACCAATAGGCAACAAACTAATTGGGATTGGTTCAAGTAAACAAACCACAAAACATATATACAATCGAAACGGAATAAAGTGACAAAGCAAATTGTAATTGTAACTAAATTGTAGATCATATGATGTGTCAACGAAGGATTTCGAAGGAAAGGAAAGGAGGAGTAGTAGTCGGATGTATGTCGGTCAGTGGTAAGTGGTTCAGCGAGGAGTAGCCACACACAACCCACACATAGCTGGAGTCGAAAAATAAAGCAAAAACAAATTTAGACTTTTAAGAGAATGTAAATTCGAGCAAAAAAAAACAACCACACCCACACACACATATTGTAATTGTATATTTCCAATGTGGAAAAACGAAATGCGATATAAATATGTAATGTAATTGTAAAATAAAGAAACAAAAAAATATATAAAACGAAGTGAGAAAAACCACAGAGAACGACGAGTGTGTCTCCTAAATCAAAACTGAAACTTTTGGGTAACGAAAACTTTTACCATTTAACAGATTACTAAATTACAAGAGATTGTCCATGCGACCAAAGGGAGATTGCGGGTTCAGATCTACTATACATATGTACATGTACATAGCTAAATACTGAGACATATAAGAAGTGAGACAGTATTTGGATGGTTTGTTAAACGAATTGGGGGATTTTGTAATCTGATGTTCGATAAATGTTCACAACCAATGGATGCGGTTAAGATTATACAAAATTTCTCTAGAACTCCAAATGATAAGAGGGAGAGAGTGAGGTTTAAATTTTGTGGGTTTAGGGTTTTATTTCTGGGACTTTGTGGTACTCCCTGTACTACACGATATCTACTTCCATATAATTCCCTTATTTTGGTTAATTTAATTGTAATTGTTATGGCGGCTTAGGTGGATACAGCCCAATCTTTTGGCAGGGATTCTTGCAGTCGTTGCACGACAACGTGCTCAGCTGCGAAATCAATACAAGAAACGATTCTACTGAGATGCTCGTTAAGCAGACATTATAGGAAAGTGATATTCAATCCATAGAAGACTCACCTACACACAGAATCACTCGAGAATCTTTTGAATATATGACAACGAATTTGTGCAGGAGGAGTACAAAGGTAAAATGTATAAATAGGATATGCCCACAGAAACCCCGTAAGAAACATGAAAACTACCATTAGATACATATGGGTTAGACTCTAGCTAGCATGAGTTTAAAGTTTTTATGTGGTTCCAGAATTGTTGAAAGTATTGAATAAATCGTCTGATGGTGTCTGTTGAAATCGATTTTATTTAGCGTATTCTATATATACCTATATACTTACATACATGTACATATGTATATATAGAGTATGTATTTATATGCATGTATTTTTGTTGGATCTGTGTGTTGTTCAGTAAACTACTTATTAAACTGAAATTCTGTTGGCTGCATAAAAGCTAATTCAAAGTACCGCGTGAAGCATCCGATTGTACAATATATATATGTATATAGTAGGGGTGTGTGTGTGGAGGAGCAACTACTAAGTATAACAAACATTGAGATTAATCTATAGATGGTTTGTTCGGAGACACGATTGTATTTATGACTGCTGCAGTAGGTAGGTACATACATTGATTGATTGAAAACAGAGGAACTAAAACTAAAACTAAGCACCATTCATCCATCTATCCATCTATCGATAGACTTAGACAGAGAGTAGTGTTTGTGAAGATGTTGATGTGTGATTTAAAACTTAAATCTGATCCTTGCTCTTAGTGTTGTGATTCATCTTAAGGCTATGCTTATGTCTATATTACGTGTAAAGTATGTTTTCGATTGGACTGTATGATGTACAACAAAAATAGTAGATAGGTTTTGGTTCTATTGATTGGAAGAAACTCGTGACACAGAAATCAATTCAAAATACATTTACTTAGAACTAAATTAAATGTTACAAGAAGCCATACCATACATGAACGAACATCGCTGCTGTCTTGGCATTGAAAACATTTGAAACAAATGCTAATATGATTATACTTAGGCATACATTAGCTTGTAAACGATTATAACTTGAATGGGCGTAGGGGGTTTCGCTTTAAAAACATTGGAAAATACAATATAAATCTTAGGCCTAAAAACACACAGACACAGTGGCATGGTAGAACGAGAAATTAAATAATAATTCATTGATTAAATACAAGTAACAAAGATTTGTGAAACAAAATGTAAGCCTACAAAAACAAATGTTAGAATGGAACGTGTAAAAATTGGAGGATCAATGGAATGATCATCGAATCTAATGCAACAGCAAAAGGGAGAATAATTTCTGTCACTCACATCACAGCGTGGAGCAGGGCAGGCTCGGGGCAGGGCAGGATTCTGGTGAGAAGGCAGACAATCAGTGCAGCTCTTCGCTGAATTTAAATGGTAATATCCCCATAGTCCTGCGACCATTTCTCATACGAATTGAGGCTCTGCGGTGCCACAGAGCGACGAATACGCTTGAGAGAGTTGTGAAAATCCTTTTCGGTGATGTGACGCATGGCGCTTATGTCCAGACACTTGACCTGCTCCACATTCAGCTCTCGTATGGGCTCCAGAGCGGCATCCTTGGCCAGGGCCGTCAAATCGGAGCCAGAATAACCGTCCGTAATCTTGGCCAAACGCCGCAGAGCATCTGTATCCAGCGGCGAGCCCTGCTTCTGCAGCAAACGATTCAAGAGCAGCTCGCGCGTCTGCTCGTCGGGCAGTGAGACATAAACGCGTTTGGTGAAGCGTCGCAAGGCGGCCTCGTCCAGCTCTTGGGGCCTATTGGTGGCGGCCAGCACCACAATCCGATCGCCTTCGGGATTCCCGGGCAGACCGTCAAACTCGACTAGGAATTCGGTCTTCAGGCGGCGCGATGCCTCGTGCTCGCCGCTGCTACGCTCCGAGAGCAGCGAGTCGACCTCATCGATGAATATGATTGAGGGCTGCAAGTGGCGGGCCACGGCAAACAAAGCACGCACCAATTTCTCTCCATCTCCGACGTATTTGCTGGTCAACGAGGCAGCCGAGATGTTCAGAAAGGTGGCACTGCATTCGGTGGCGACGGCACGGGCCAGCAATGTCTTGCCATTGCCCGGTGGACCGAACAGCAGCAAACCCTTGGCTGGGGCACGCAAACCTACACTCGAAAAGAGGGAAACACGCAATGCTAAATGTACTGGGAATGGCTCAATCTATCATTCACTTACCTGTAAAAAGTTCTGGACGAACGGAGGGCAGTATGACCATCTCTTGTAGCGCCTGCTTGGCCACCTCCTGGCCGGCAATGTCTGTCCACTCCACCTTGGCACCACCCTCGACAATCTCATCGAGTATCAGCTGCACCAGCTTCTGTTCCACACCCTTGACAGTCACCACGGGTGTGCTGGCGCCGCTGCCACTGCCGCTGGCACCATTGTTGTTGATGGGCGTGCGTGAACGCTGTGGCGGTGTATTGCGACCGGAAGACTATGTAATACAAAGTGGAAAAATAATAGAGAGAGATCAGTCAGGCAATCCGATATTCCATCCTTGAGCCACTTACAAATTGTCGACGCACGGCTGGGGGTGTGGCTGCCGTCTTGCCTGGCTGCCGGACTGCACCCACGGAGGTCTTTGAGCCAAGATTACGTGGCAAAGTTTGTGACTTGTTGGTGGCCACGGCTAGGTTGCCAGGTCGCTTCGTGCCGATTGTCAGCTTGCGGCCAGAGGCTAAGGAAAAGACGGTAAGCGATCAGAAGAGCACATGGGGAAGGATCTGTCAATGTTTAAGCTACAATTTGGGTTCAAGCATAAATGAATATTGAAACGAAAACAAAGTGCAAAGTGAGAGGGTGATTGATAGATAGATAGCTCAAACTGTTGTCGCTGTGGTGTCGCTGGTTCTGGGCGTTGGTGCTGGGCTCTTTTTAGGCCTTGACTGCAACAGAACTTACCCAATGACGACGATGACGACGGTGTTGTGGCTGTGACAGTGATTCTGGGCGTACTAAGACCGTTCTTTGGGCCATAGCCGCTGCTACGTATCTTCAGCTTTACGGGATCATTGGTGAGATTCGTTAGCATTGGCTGATTAGGTGCCGCTTCTCTGGCCTTCTGTAGCCTGTGGGGCTGCTGTTGCTGATGCTGCTCCTGGCTATGATTCAGTTTTGGTTTCTGTTTCTCCTTCAGCGAGAGACGATGCATTTGGAAATCTTCCTCGCGCAGCGCTGTGGCAGCGACAATTTGATGGACAAACGCAAAAGGAAATGCGAGGACAAACAACAAAGTGCAAATAAAAAAAAAAAATCAACAGAAAAATACAAAATCAAAATCATTCCTGTAGGGTGTTTGCGGATGCACAATTGGGGGCAACGACTTACCGAGAAAGTGAAGACGATCCCGGGCCATCGAAAGATTTGTTTGCATTTTATCGTGCAGCCTTTGGGCACGGTCCCAGACATCGCCGCGACCGCTCCAGCAATCGACGGCAATGCCATCCTCTAGCTCCTTGATACCCTTGCGATATAGCTCAATGGCCAGCTCTTTGTGACCTGCAGGCGGGAGGAAAAGGAAACGGATTGTCAGAACATCTCACTCTCAGCTCTTTGGGATTATTGATTTGCACTCGGCAGACAACAAAAGATACACACACCCACACATACCGAACAGCCGCCAGCCAGCTAGTGGGGCGATGACTCATAGAGAGCACTCGAAAGCACCCCCAATGCTCAACGCTCAGCACTCACCTTCATTCTCCTCGTCTATCTTGAGCGCCTTGGAGATGTATTCGAACGCCCGGCGATGGTGATGCTTCTGCTTGGCCAACAAAGGATCTCCGGGACCGGGCGAGCAGCCTGCACCAGATCGATTGGCCCCTGCCATTTCCAGGGGCTGAAGTGCGCGATAGCGCTGCTGTGGCAGAGGTTGCTGCACTTGCTGCTCGCACGACGCTGTCGCGCCGCTGGTCACCTCCAGGGGATAGTTGAGGGACTGGCTCGTCGTTAGTTGTGGGTGCTGCTGATCCTTGTTGTTCGAGTTGTTTTGGACAACAATCTCGATGTTGCAGTCGCGTCTGTGGGGACGGTAAATCACCTTTGTGCTGGCGCCGTAAAAGTAGCGAAAAATGCAGAACAGCTGATAAATCAGCGAGCGCAGAACGTTGAATAGGAATATAATGGGAAATGAAACAACGTAGAGGTTCTGCTTGTGCACGGAGGAGGAGCCACCGCGATGGCTGCTTCTTGGCGCGCTCGTTGATGTTGGGGTCAAATCATCGGTGGTGGTGGTGTCGTCGTCACCGTCTCCGTCCGGCGAGCTGCCCGGAGTTGTGCGTCGGTTCGAGGAGGACGACACGTTCGCGACAGACTTGCGGTCATCGATCGATGTTCGATGCGCCGACGACGACCTGCTCAAGCTATGTCCGCCTGCTGTTCCTGCGGCTGCTGATCCGCCGCCGCCGCCGCCGTGCGATTTGATTGGAGATTTGTGGCTGCTGCTGGCGCTGGACGAGGATGACTGGTTTTTGGTGCGTACCATCGATATCGATTCCGCGCCGCAGCACGCTAACTAGCTTTGACCCCCACTCACTCACTCACTCACTCCGTTGGCTCTGCTCTCTACTCTCCACCCCCTACGACGTACGTGCAAATTTATGCGAAGGAGAGACGTTCCGTTTGCTTTCCTATTGGCGCACACGAACACACACTCAACCGCGACACTGGCACGCTTTCAAAATTATGACATTAAAGCCAATAAACAATTTTTTAAACACAACACTAAACGCGCTCTACTACTAGTTGTTGTTGTGCATTCTGCTACTATTTTAAGAGCTCTTGCTCTTTTTTCAAACCTTATTTTTCTCAGCACTATTTTCAGGTTCCCCCGCTCCCGACAACAACTGCTGACGTACTTGCCAGATTGTTTGACTACTTCGATTTTGTTTGTTTACAGCCTAAAAACAAAAAGTAAGCCAAGCAGTCTGCTTACACTTCTAGAAAGCAGCATTTGCATTTATAAGTACACTTTTGGAATTTGTAGGTAATTCAATTTATTTTATCCCTCTATTCCACACCTAATTCGCTTGATCTGGCCGCCATGTACTTTGTAGGGTTGTCTTCTACCCTGCTTTCGATAACATATCGATTGGTTAAAACAGCTGCGCTGCACTGCATCTCCAATTTTGCATAACAAATTCGAAGAAACTAAAGTAATTTATTGACCAGCAAGAATCGGGATAGCACAGGATAAGTAGGATTAGCAGCCGGCAACGTTTCGGGTTAAGACAGGCGTAGCACACACATTGAGAGAAGTGCAGAAAGTCGAGTGTTTCGATTATAGGCATGGGCCAGTACACAGTGTCAACGCGAAAGAATGTACGAATATTGTTGGTCGGCGATGCCGGGGTGGGAAAAACCTCCCTAATATTGTCGCTGGTGAGCGAAGAGTATCCGGAGGAGGTGCCGCCGCGAGCCGAGGAGATCACAATACCGGCCAATGTCACGCCGGAGCAGGTGCCCACCAGCATTGTGGACTTTTCGAGCGTCGAGCAGACGGAGGAAACACTCGGCCTGGAGATAAACAAAGCACACGTGGTGTGCATTGTGTATGCAGTGGATGACGATGATTCACTCGATCGCATCACCTCGCACTGGCTGCCATTTATACGCTCCAAATGCAATGCGTCTGTGGATGGCGATGCCGAGACTGAGCCCGAGACGGAGGCTGCCGGCGAGTGTCTGCGCAAGCCAATTGTTCTGGTGGGCAACAAGGTCGACTTGATCGATTACTCCACCATGGACAGTGTGCTGGCCATCATGGAGGACTTTCCAGAGATTGAGAGCTGTGTCGAGTGCTCGGCCAAGACGCTGCACAACATTTCCGAAATGTTTTACTACGCACAAAAGGCGGTGCTGCATCCCACATCGCCCCTATACATGATGGAGGACCAAGAGGTAAGTTCTTAGTTAAAAAAAAAACAACACACATCACTTTCCCCTTTGCCCCTACAGCTGACGCCTGCCTGCAAGAAGTCGCTGGTGCGAATTTTCAAGATATGCGATATCGATGGCGACAATCTGCTGAACGATTACGAGCTGAACCTTTTCCAGCGTCGCTGCTTCAACACACCGCTGCAGCCGCAGATACTCGACGAGGTGAAGGCCGTCATACAGAAGAACGTGCCCGATGGCATCTACAACGATGCCGTGACGCTCAAGGGCTTCCTGTTCCTCCACTGTCTGTTCATACAGCGCGGCCGTAACGAGACCACCTGGGCGGTGCTGCGACGCTTCGGCTACAACGATCAATTGGAGATGTGCCAGGAGTATTTGCGTCCGCCACTAAAGATTCCACCTGGCAGCAGCACAGAGCTGTCGCACCGGGGCCAGCAGTTTCTGATTGCCGTCTTTGAGCGCTACGATCGCGATGGAGATGGTGCTCTGTCGCCCGAGGAGCACAAGATGCTGTTCAGCGTGTGTCCCGCCTCACCCTGGTCGTACTCCACGGACATACGCAAGTCGTGTCCCATCAATGACAATGGCTGGGTCACGTTGCATGGCTGGCTGTGCCGCTGGACTCTGATGACGCTCATCGATGTGGTCAAGACGATGGAATATCTCGCCTATCTGGGCTTCAATGTCCACGAGAACGACAGCCAGCTGGCGGCCATACATGTGACCCGCGAGCGTCGCATCGATCTGGCCAAGCGGCAGAGCAGCCGCTCCGTCTACAAGTGCCACGTCATCGGCCCCAATGGCTCTGGAAAGACGGGCCTGTGTCGCGGCTTTCTCGTCGATGATATGCAGAAGCTGATTGGCAAGGAGTTCAAAACGAATGTCGTGCACTGCATCAACTCGGTGCAGGTGTATGGCCAGGAGAAGCACTTGATATTGCGCGACATCGATGTGCGGCACGCGCTCGATCCGCTGCAGCCGCAGGAGGTGAACTGTGATGTGGCCTGCCTCGTCTACGACTCATCCAATCCCCGCTCCTTTGAGTATGTGGCCCGCATCTACATCAAGTACTATGCGGAGAGCAAGATACCCGTGATGATTGTCGGCACCAAGTGCGACATGGATGAGCGACGACAGGACTATCTAATGCAGCCCGCCGAATTTTGTGACAAATACAAACTCCTGCCGCCGCATCTGTTCAGCCTGAAGACCAACAAAAAGGAACTATACACAAAGCTGGCCACCATGGCCGCTTTTCCGTGAGTATTTTTGTTTTTTTGGGGTAATTGTGGTTCAGGGTAACACACACAAGACTAACCCAAGCCCTGAGATCAAATGCATGAAATCTGAAAGGTTCTCACTGCTGCGAGTCCTTTCGTGTAGGGAAATAATCTGTCCACTTCCTTTGGGGCAACACATTGTAACACATTTTGGGATCACATTTTGGATTAAATGGCTAATGGTTTTTATATATATTTTTATCTTCTCTTCTACTCCCCGCCCACACTCCACCTTTGTGTATATATATCAATTTTTGGTTATGTTTCACTGTTGTTCTCGTATTATTGTTCGATGTTTGTCTTCTTGGATTTGCAATTCTTCGTGGCTTCGTGGCGGCGTTGGCTTTGGTGGCGTCTGCAGGCGATTCCAAGCCGCCTGGATACTGTTCTACAAGCACAGGTTGGTACAGCTTTGGGAATCGGCGTAAGTGTTTACTATTCAACTTGAATTTCTTACTAATGTCTGTCCTTTTGTATTGTTGTTGTTTCCATGGTGACACTCAAAATCGAGATCCACACTCATCCCATCCCAATGCTTACCTAAAACGTGGTGTTTGCGGCTCTGCTTTAATATCTGTTTTGTTTTTCTTTGCACAATTTTGCGCTGTTTTTACTCTACTAATCTAAAGCACTTTTTCCTTTCTCCCATACGGCAAACAGCCACTTGCGGCAATTTGGACACATGACGGAGGAGCACAAGCTGTTGTGGAAGGCCGGTCTGGGTGTGGCAGCTGCCACAATGATCGGATTCATTGTGCTGAAGACCCTCAATGTTGGCGGCTCACATTCGCGCTAGAACACACACACACACACACACATAAAGAAACAGCGCAAAATACACACACACACATAGACACAAAAAAAAGGAGTTCAATGTTTAATCAAATTTATGTTAAATCAAAATTTATTGTTACGAAGCAATGAAACAAAAAAAATTGTCACCAGACAATGAAATGGTTTTGGTTTCCTGACATGTAAATACACTTTTGTGAGCCAGGAGACGCCTCCTCTAGAGCAGAACCAGAAGACATCTCCAGCGCAGAGTTTCCCAGCAGCAAACACTTAAGGCCAGCATTTCTTTATAACTATAAAAACAGTAACTTAAACCCATGTACTACTCTCTACAGCTCTACTGATTTAAGTCTTATAAGTTCAACACACACACATACTGTGCAGCGTATGTGCAGATAATTATTAGTCTTAACAATTAGTTCTTTATTGGTTCTATTATATATAAATATATATATATAGATATTTATCGCACTATTGTATATACGCGCAAAGAAAACGAGCAATAAATGTATGCAAAGTAAAGACTATACAAATATCAAGATCTTGCAGCAGAACAGGAACAGGAATTCCATTTCAATGATCGTTTTGGTACGCGCACGCGGGAATTGGCATCAATAAACATGCACAAATTAGAGATTTAAATCTACCTTTATTAGCTCATCCTCGTCCAAGTTTAGCTTCCTGCCTTAGGGTTTCTTTATCTTAATGTAAGTTTATCCCAGTCTTTAAATTTAATTTTGAATGCCATTAATGCTGGCAGCTGCATTGGCTGCCGCCGCTGGAGACATGCAATTGCCATCGGGATAGCGCTTCTGGAATTGTGTTATCAGCTCGGGATCGACGAGGCGTATGCCATCCAATTGATTGCCCAGCGTTATCCAATTCGGTTGAATGTTGTGCGGGCGGCCAAAGAGTTCGATTTTGCGAGTGCCCGGACTGAGGCGCTCGATGATGCCATAGATCTCGTCCGGCTTGTGGGAGGTGGCGCGCACTTCCGCCACGATCACATCGCAGTCGAGGCCGCGATTCAGATTAGTTGGATTGCCCTTCATGCCCACCAGGCAGTGCTCCTTGCCGTGATTCAGCCAGTGGCCGGTGCGTCCAGTGCGTATGATGCGCTGCAGCTGGTTCGTCTTCACCCAAATGAGTTCGTCCACCCGCTCGTAGCCCCAGAGCTTGAGGCAGTCCCGTCCCAGCTCCATGGCACGCCCAGTTACCCAGAGAAATATAAGGCCATCGTCCTGGAGCGCGGGCACACCCAAGGCACGCATCTCGTCGTCGGACATGGTGCCATATGGCAGCTCCATATGTATGTCCCAGGGCGGATCGGCCATTACCACCGCAAACTTCCCCAGCACGGTCATGTCGAGGAACCGCAAATCGCATTGAATCCACTGGGGCGGGTACAGGGTGCAGCTGGGGTCGATGCTGCGCTTCAGGCTGAGCTTCGTCTTCACGTCGGTGGGCTTGTTCGTGTTGATGTGCGGCAGCGTGTCCACCTCGTAGTGCACATACTTGCAGGTGGCCATGTGGAAGCAGGTGTTCAGGAAGCTGCAGTCCCCCAGGGACTCGTCCGTGTGCGCCTGAATGATCTTCTTGAAGTGGAGCTTGGTGCACTTGTCGCGCGTCTCGCCGGAGGCATCGCTGCCATCGGTGGACTCTTGGGACTCGCCCTCGCAATTGGTCAGCGTTTCGGATATGACTTCGCCATCTTCCGATGTGGTTTCCAGTGGAGTCCCGGCCTTTGGTGGCTTTTTGCTGCTGCTGCTGCCGCCGCCATTTCCCGCATCCTCTCCTCTCAGTGCCTGCTCGTCCAGGCGCTCCTGTTTCTTCTTGGCCGCCATCTCTGCGGTGGCCTGCTGCGCCTTGAGGCACTCCACCTTGGTGCCGTGGGAGCAAAACTCCATGACCTGTGCCCCGCCATGCGACTTGAACTTCTCTGCCACGGAGCGCTCTTTGGCGGTGGGTTTGGTCAGCAGCTCTAGAATCTCCTCCCCCACCTGTTTGCTCTGCTTCTCGCGGGTGGAGGGCATCGACAGCAACATCATTATGTCATTGGGGGCATCCTTGCGGGAGGAACAATCCATCTTCATTGTTTTTTCCAGCGGTTGGACATCCTCTTCGGCTTCCACAAGCTCTGCCACTGGAAATTGAAAGGATTATAGATCGATTGATGGGTCTAAGGCTCGACGGACGGACTCACACTTTCTCTTTGCCTCCTCCTCCTTCTGCAGACAAGTGTCGTTGATGTCCTCCAGAATCTCCTTTAGCTCCTTGGGCTGCACCGAAATGATTTCACAGCCCGCCTCCGTGCCAATGGTCACATTTCGAATCGAAATGGCACCCTGGTTGGCCAGTTTCCCCAAAATAAAGTTGACCATTTCGAGGCTGCTGCCGGCAGCGGCAATCTTTTCCATCACCTGCGTCGAAACGATGGGCAGGGCCAAGGAGCAGGCACTCAATGCCTGCAGCACCTCCTTCTGCACCTCCAGGTCAGCCTCAACTACAAAAGATGAAGAAATTAAATCATATTTGTTGCCTTTTATATGCAAATTTCCTACCGAGTTCTTTTTTGGGATTCGTTTGATCCTCCTGTATATCGGACAGTATCTCGATGCGCTCCTTTTTCCGCTTCTCCAGCTTCTCGCGGAGTGTGTTCCGCTTCGTCTTGAGCGTTTTTATGTCCCACGCATCGGCCATTGTTTAATAATTTAACTTTTGCGGCAGACCAGATTGATGTAAACAAAAGTTAATTATTTTTGGAGAGAGACAAACATTGAAACGAAATGCTCACGCGACCATCTCTAACCAGTGTTGTGTAGTGTAGTTACCGGAGAACGAGAGAGCGTATATTTTCTGAAACACTACTTGTTTTTCATGAGTTAGGGGTCCAAGCAATCACACACAATTGAATAATATCATTCAATCTTTTAGAGAATTCCCTCATTAATCGTATACAATTATTTTTTAAGTGCCGAAAGCCTCAGCTATCTAGTACAAATAAACGGAATATCCAAATCAAGGAATATCATTTCCACGAACAGAGAACGCTTAACCCATTGTCGGCCCATTGGTGAAAATTGTATGAAAATTGAAGAATTGTAATGCTGTTCAAATGTTTTTTTTTTTAACGAGCACACACGAACGAACACTGGAAAGGGAATGTAATTGTATGGAATATCAATAATTATGGTACACAAGTGACCATCGGTTGCCTAGGAAAAAATTGTTATATAACGTAGCATTCCATTCCCAACCAGGTAAGGTTTTGCTGTTTTTTTGGTAGACGTTTTTAGTTTTAAGCATATTATGGACATATATTTCAATAAAAGGAAGTCGTATAAACCAGCCAATATTGTGGGGAACTTATTGATACATCGAATAAAATTATAGTTTTCGCGCTGAGATTTCTAACTAGCTGGAAATATTAAATGAAACATCAAAGTCGAGGAAAATGGTTAAAGATTACGTTATATGTAAGTATAAACGTATTTTTGTTTTGGTATATTTCTGTGGGATTGCTTTGCTCATATAGAGACGCAAAAATGAGGAGAGAGAAGAGAGGAACTGCTGACATAATCCTTTCTCTGCTGACCTAATCCTCTCTTTGGCATGTGGCAGCAAGGTATGGCAAACATTTAAAAAAGGACGAACTTTTCAAAGCTCTCACCTTTTTCGGACCTGTTTAAAGGATCCGTAATCGCCGCTGGAATTTTTGTGACGTAAATACCTTTTGCCGACACCTTAGTTTTTCGTACTAGTACAAATTTCGCACCATGCTCCCTTGCTTTGTTAAGGGAGTTATAGAAATATAGAAATAAAATCAAAGAAATCGGTGACTAGTTAGACGATAATGATGGTTTTTCAAATTATCAGGTGTTCCTTAATTATAATGTATAAACCGGAGTCTAGCCCCAATTATGTTGTAAAAATAGAAGAACTGCCGCCCAAACCACTCCGATGTTATGTTTCCTTTGTGCAATTTTCAGGAAAACAATATAATTTCTTTCCCTCCTTGATTGCGCGCGCTATTTTTAAATAATTTTCAATGATATCAGTTAACATACATGTGTCTCTACATGTTACATACATTTACATACTGAACACTAAGCTCCCTTGCTTCCAGAAGGGGTGTTTTGGATGAAAAATTCAAATACAAATTTATAAAATATAAGGTCATAAAGTATACAATCCAATAGAAAGTCGTATTTATAATAAGCAAAATTGATTCTTCAATCGGATTAAAGTGTTGTTTCAGTGTTAAAATTCATTGCAAGCTGGTTATATTGAATAGAATAGTATAATCGAGGAAAATGATTTTAGATGTAAGGTACATTTACGGTATATTTTTAAATTGACAAGGTATATTTTGGTATATCTTTGAGTGTAGTGCGGTATATTTTACCGACACGTCCGCGGTCACACTGCACTGCTGTTGCTTTTCATAAATATTTAATTTAAATGAAACAAACCGCGTTGCCAATTGTATGTATATATAGTGAATGAGAGAACGGGAGAGTGAGAGAGAGAGTCGAGTTGTTGTTAAGTGTATCTTGTTGCTCTTGGCGTTTTTTTTTTGTTTATGCGCGTGGAAGAGAGCATAAAATGCGCGAATAGGTACACACACACCTCCACTCGCAGCATGCATATATACGAAAATTTGCAAAAATAGGTTAGTGTGTGTGTGTGGTTGGCTGTATGTGGGGGCGCGCGCATAGCATTCATCCATTTGTTATTGTTGGAGCTCTCTTTAGATTTGTGCGAGCGAATGTGTGTGTGAAGTGTTGGGGCCCGACAATCAGCTTTATAACGCGACATTTGCAACGCCACTTTGTAGCATGACGGTCGTCTCTCGCGCGCAGCAGCTCCAAAAACACCCGCACAAACGCGAACTACGCGACGCCTGGCTGCAGCAGCGCAGCAGCAGTTCCGAAACCGTTTCCGAGGAGCAGTGTAATCCGCAACAGATTCCCGTGTGTATTGATTCTGTGCAAGAGTGAGTGCAGTAGCAGTCGCAGCATCGGCAGCATATCGCAGCCCCAACATATACTCCCACACTCTCTCTATAGCTGCTTCTCTCTCTCGCTGTGTTCGCGTTTCGTCTCGTGATATTCTGTACAACAAAATACAAGTTTTGCTTCATAAAGGCGGCCCAGGCAGCGGCACGCCCTTTCATTGTGTGCGCGCAAGTGCTTGAGTGTGTGTGCATGGCCAACAGCAGCTGCGGCAGCACTAGAAAAAGGAGATGCAGCAGGAGCAGCAGCATCCACTCCAATTGGAAATATATTTAAACCAGAAAATATTAACTTGAATTTGGAAAACATTGTCAACAAACAAAAATCAGTTATAATGTGCGATAGAAATTAACAGAAAATTATTCCCAAACAAAACAACAACAGCTACAAAGAAAGCGGAAGAGAGAGAGAGAGAACAACAACAACAAAGCCGCAAGTGGAAACACCAACATGAAGATGGTCGATAAATCATCGAAGCTGGTCGATAAATTTGCCGTTATCAGTGGTGCAGGCGGAGGAGGAGTCAGCGGTGTCGGCGGCCTACCCATCATGCCAGGCAGTGGAATGCCCCCAATGGGTGCCACCCCTGGCCACCCTGCAGCTGGCTTGTCGGGCATCGGTGGATCGGGTGGCGGGATCAGCAGCGGCTCGAATGGTCAGAAGCCGGTGCCCATGAAGCTGTTTGCCGCCTGGGAGGTGGATCGAACACCTCCCAATTGCATACCCAGGTGAGAGAACAACAAAGTCCCAGTGCAGTTCGCGAGAGTGCACATAAAATTTTACATAAGAGCAGAGAAGAGCGAGAGCAGGACAGCGGCAGCGACAGCGACAGCGACATCGTTTGTTTTCGTCTTTGTCTTTGTTGTTTTTGCTGCTGTTTTTGCCAATTTCTTTTCACTTTTGCTTCTGTTCGATTTTGGTGTTTTTGGTTGTTGTTGTTTCCTATTTTTAGACCAAAAAGCGGTAACTGTTATTCAACAAAGTTGACTTTTATTTATTACCTTTCTACCAGTGAAAACATTGCGCGGCACTGTGGTGGGAGGGTAAACCTGAAAAGAAAGAACAAACAAGCAAAGAAAAAGTAACCAAAAATAAATAAAAGCTATCAAAACAAATGGCCGAAGAAAGGGGAGGTGGCACGAAAAGACAGTTACAGTAATGTATGCATGAATACACGTGCAGAAATTCATTTCGAATATATTATACATCAATTGTTCTGTAAACATCTGTACATACACACATTCTACATGTTATATGTAGAACAATTTTTTCCATAGGCCATGTCCCTGATCCCCGCGATTGAGATAGGAAGGCTCGATCCATTGTGCTACAACAAAGTGTCCAAACTTTGGCCTCAGTTTAACAAGGCGACACAACAGCGTAAATCTTATGCAGATAAGCTAATCAATAGGCCAAGCTGGTTCAAGATTTCAGTTACAGATCTCTTGTATTTATTTGTTTAAAATATCTGCGCATTATTGCGATTTATTCATTCATATTCAGAATCTGATAATTGTCTATATTGATCCACAACTATTCTTTTTCGATCAGAGCTCTGCTTCTTTCATTCAAGAATTCTTGAAATTTTCGAACTCCATCGTTAATTCATTCAGAAACCTATGTTATCTAGTGTTTTCTAATTAAACTCATCTTTGGCGCAAAAAAAAACGAGTTTGTTTTGCTGTTTGTATTTCTTCCATCTTTTGTTGTTTTCCTCTTTCATTGGTCGTATTCGTATCTCCGCTCCATGTCTTTGTCCCAGTGACCCCGAAAATCTCTGACTAATGTCAAATGTTTTGTTGTTCTTCTAGATGTTCTCTCCGATATTCTTATCTTTACATTTCTTCTACTTTCTGCTATGTCTTTTCTTTTTTCGTTTATTGTTTAGGAATTTGCTGGTTATTTGCAAATGAAATGAATCACCCGGCGTGCGAGCTGTCCCCTAATATTCCCCCGTTGCGTTGCAGTATTTTGGATATACGAAAAGGTTAAGAGTAACTTCCTTTCTTGGGAAGACATTTATCAAGATTTATTTTTGGTCGGATAACCTTTTCAAATGTCATTTATACGATGAGAAAGTACAAATGGCACCTAAGTAGAATCTAAGCAGAAGATTATAGTCTGTAATATTTGTTGAAGTTTTCGCTTTTCTTCCGCTGTATAATTATGCGTTTGCAGGGCTTGTAATTATAATTGGAAAAATTAGAAACTGAAGAAAACTTTGCGCTTTTTCCTCCTACCAAAAAGCAACACGGAGAAAAAAAGAGGGCAAAGTTTTCCCCCCAAAGAGTGGCTTCCAGTTTTAGTTGCTAATTAAACTTTTCTTTTGTCTATAAACAGCAGCTCCCTTCCAGACATCCTCCCTTCCCCTGAAGTTCCTTCCTCTTTCATGACCGTTCATTCCATTTATTTGTGGTCGTCGTCACAGTTTGTCAAGCTGCAAGTGTGTGTTGCTTCCTCCATGTGCCAGCCATCAAGCCACATGTGTAGCATGCCCCTTCAAAATCTATATGCTTATATGTATGTTGATTTTATCTACGCCTCAATGCGTCACGTAGTGCCATATCCCAGACTTTGATTAGGGCCTCAGATCGGGCGTAAAGGAGTTTTCCTTGTGGTTTTCTTTTTTTGGACATTTGCTCGACATTCGTACGTGACGTCTGACCCCAAAATGATGACCAAGGCGGGCCGGGGGCTCATATAGTCGTTAGAGAGCATTCAAATTCGAATCAAATCAGTGGGGAGCTCTAACC